ATATATATATATATATATATATATATATCATTGTCTTAATAACACGCAGCCCGAACCATTCCCATCTCATTGGTACGGTTGTCTCGGCGGATTTCCCCATGCTTCCTGGCCGACGCACAAGGGCGACGAGGCTGTCGCGTTGCCGCCACTTCCACCCGGTGCACCACCACCCATACCACCGCCGCTGTGGTAGCGGTAGTATGAGTTTGGCGTCGTTTGCGGCGTGTAACGGGGACCGTGGTACGGAGAGGTTTGGCTGTGGTAGGCATAACCCACATTATTGTTGAAACCGTTGTAATTGCTGTAGTAGCCACCGCCAGATTCCATGTACCCGGCGTTGCCGGAGGCCGGCCTGCCTGGTGGTACACCGCCACCCGGTAGTTGTTGTNATTATTGTTGAAACCGTTGTAATTGCTGTAGTAGCCACCGCCAGATTCCATGTACCCGGCGTTGCCGGAGGCCGGCCTGCCTGGTGGTACACCGCCACCCGGTAGTTGTTGTGGCGGGAGTGGTGCTGTTGCTGTTCCTCCTACAGAGTTGAGGGCGTAACCGCTACCGCGCTGACCACCATGAGGATTCGGAGAGCTCTGGCGGGATGATTCAGCCCAGTGCGGAGAGAATATCATCGGCTGCGCCAGGACTGAGAGCAAAGGTGGCTGGTAACTGCCGTTCGAGTGCGTACTTCCGTGATACGGCGTATGTGGTGTATTGGTAGTGGACCAACTTCCACCCCCAAAGCCGCTTGACGGGCGGGGAAAGGGTGGAACGCCAATAGCGTTGGAAGCCGTACCTACCCCACCGACGCCGTTTGGCTGCTGTCCCAACAGTCGCTGGTACGGTGCAGCAGATGCGGATGGCTCTCGCCTTGCGGGGCGGGGCACTACGGGTGTGCATGCCGAGGTGATGCTTTGTGTGGCTATTGGCGTGAATGAAAGCCCCCCGCTCGGGTGACGATCGGGTGTGTTTGAAGGTAACTCCAAACCTAGACGTCGCAAAGTGGGAATCCCTATCCGCGTGTACTGCGGTTCAAGGTCATCAGGGTTGTATTTGTCCCAGAGATGTAGTTGGCGCCGCCACAGATTGAGGAATCTGTCGAATGTTCGCTTGCTACAGTTGAATTCAGGACGCGGTGTCATGGGATGCATTGGATTGCGGAACTCCCGGTCACCGCGATGTGGCACAGCGCGAAGATAGTTGGTATAACCGACTGTCTCCTTGCCGTACTGTACCTGACGCCGTCGCTGATGCAGACGTCGCGAACGCTCCTGGGTATCGCCCAAATTAAGTTCCAACTGGGGAAGCTCCACGCCGCTGTAGTACAGATGCTTCTCCTCCGTCTCAACAAGGCGTAGGGCAACCGGACATCGGTACGTGTCGCAAGTAAAGTGCCCATCATCACTGCCGTAGTACTCCGCTTGATCAATGCTCACCATTCGCTTACTGTCTAGCCCCGCACGCCCAGGAACGATGCGGGCCGCTGGAGGACCAGCAAATGGCATACTACTGCTGTTCACTGCACCCTGTGTGGGTGCTGCTGAAGCCGCCACACCGCCACTGCAAAGACCACCAATGTGCCCCACATGTGCCTCCCCGCTGTCGAGGGCGGCAATGGGCGAACGCTGGGAGGAACGGCGCGTCAGCAACGCTGAGACTCCCGTCGCATTTGGACCGGACGTTCGTTGGATGCCTGTCTTATAAGAAGGTTTGACCGTGACAAGGTTCTCTGTGTTGATCCCCGCATACCCCTCTAGCTCTGACTCCACATCGAACATGGAGAGTGGCACACTGCGGTATGGCTGGTGCGTAGTCACACTGGGAGATCGCATCTGCGGCATTGCTGCTGGCGTACTCCGTATAGGAGTGGATGATGCTGCTGCTGCTGCTGCTGCCGCGTTGGGAGCATCCATCCTTGGGGAGCCGCGCCCCAGCAATCCCTCCCAGGCGGGTGCGCCACTGCAGTTGCTTCCACCGTTCCTTACCATCGTTGCCTGCACCGGCCTCCTGCCGTTTTCACCAGAAGTTGTTGGCATCATTTTCTTATGACCCTCCTTTTCGCTTCAGAGGTTTGTGTTTTTTTTTTTGTAGCAGTGGCACTGCGCTCTCGATTCTTTTGTTTATTCCTTGTTTGTTTTTGTGGCTCTTTTTGTTTGTTTGTTTGTTGGAATGCGTATATCTTGTTTCTTCTCTTTGTTTTGTTTTTGTCGTTGTTTCCCCAGTCAGCCAGAGCAAAGGCCGGGAGAAAAAAGCTTAAATGAAAACTTCTTCACCGTCTTCTTTTGCTGCAGCCCAACTGACACCTGCTCTTTACGTCTCTCTGTGTGTGCGTCTGCGTATATGCGCCTCTTCGTGTGTGTTTGTGTGTGCCACTTGCTCGCGTCCCGCCTGACGCCGCCGCAGTCCTCGAGTTGCCGTTGCCCGCCTGCCCCCGTTCCTCTCCGCGAGCACCACAAAAGGGGGAGCGGTGAGAGAGCCGGGCAGCCGACAGTGCGCAGGACCCACAACGGATCAACCTCGGGAAGATAGTTCGAAAGGACAAGGGAGAACACACTTACACACACAGAGAGAGAGAGAGAGAGAAAAAAAATCTGACAAAAGAGCTTGGATTATATATCCTTTGCAGAAGTCTTTTTTTTTTCCTCTCTTCTTTCGTTTGGCGTCGTACCTTTGTTTCCCTTTCCTATCCCTATTTCTCTTTCCTTGAAGAATTCGTTTGTTTTTTTTATATTTGGTTGGCCTTCGGTTCCTTTGGGCCACCCGTTGTAGTTGGTGTTGTGGGCCGCGGTGGCGGAGACACACACACACACACACACAGAGAGAGAGAGAGAGAGAGAAGAGCGAGAGAATACATATATATATATATACATATCTATGTGTATGCCCAGCGGCCCGCACACAGGAGTGTTACCCCCCCAACCCCTCCCATTGTTGCAGCCAGCGGCAACAACAAACCACAACAGCAGCAGCGGCAGAGACGCAGAGGGAGTAGTGATGGATGAATGGAGTAACGTGCCCTGCACAGGCCGCCTCCTCATCGTGTCCACACTCAAGCAATGATAATGACAACCACAACAATTTACTCATCGCCCTCATTCCCCTCTTTTTTTTTCCTTGCATTCCATTCGTTCTTCCAGCCGCTACTACTGCTTACTTTACGCATGTCCCTTTTTTCCGTGCACACTCTTTTCGTTTTCTTTTTTCTTTCCTGCTCTCTCCCTCCTCCTCCTCCTCCTCTTTATCAACATCAGTTCACCCCTGACCACGCCAGCAGCAGCAGCAGCAGCCCCCCCCGCTCCGCACGTCTCCGCTGGCGACTGGGTGACACAAATCAGTCGAAATGAGAAAATATTGGCACACAACAGAAGAGGACCAAGCCAACAGCCAAAAAAGAAACCCACAAGCGGAAAGAAAACGCGAGCGTCATTCAGAAACCCCAAGCACACAACACAGAAACAAAAGGGAACAAAAGAGAGTGATATATATATATATATATATATATGTATATATATGTATGTGTTGCTTCCTTGAATTGATGGCAGGGCTGGGTAGATAGATAGAGAAATGATCAGAAAACTGCGTCTCAGCGCAGCTCGTCCTCTAGGTACTGATAGTTAAACGTGAAGTCCTCCTTCTCTTCAATCCGCCACGTGTCTTCGTAGTTGAAGAAGATAAAAGACCCCCGCTCGCCGCCCTCCTGTGACTCCTTCAGCCGACCGTTGCGCTGGAACCACGTGTTGAGCTGTGTATGGTAGCGGAATGATTGCGCCTTGATTTGCTTCGCCGCGTAGTACTGCTGGTACGTGTTCTGGTGGTAGTAGAAGATGAAGAAGAGTGTCTCCAAGTCAAACTCGCGGTAGATATCCGGCGACGCCAGCGCGGGGAGCACCTGCTGCGGGTAGTACGACGGGCACGTCGTCGGATTCGACGGCTCGAAGGGACGCTGCCGGTCAACGTCCTGCGTGTGCGGCAGATTCGCTAATGACATATCGACGAGCTGCAGCATCATGGCCTTATCATACGTGGTTGTGGTAGTGGCGGTGGCGGCCGGGGCATGGTTGGTGGCGGATGAAGTGGCACTAACGTGGTGCTTACTCTCTGTGCTGCGCTGAGGCGGCGTCGACGACGCTGCTGCTGTCGCTGCAGGTTGCTGCTGTAGCTGTNAGTAGTAGTAGTAGTAGTAGTAGTAGCTGCTGCTGGTTGTTGTTGTGGTGATGACTGCTCTGCTACCTGTGCTTTGCCAGCAGTGGCAGACGGCGGCGAGACGAGACTCGCGGGGCGACCCTTTTCCCAGTCGCCCATAGGCGGGAGGCTGCCAGTCGCCTTCGCCATCTCCGCTAAAGAGCCGGTGCCCGCCATCTCCATCGCGTCATCGCCAAATGTGTCTGCATTGGCCTTGTCCATCTCGTCGTCCAGCAGCGCGGCATTCTCATCCCACGCCTCCATCGGTGCATCTCTACTCGAAGCCGACTTGGTCATTGTAGCTGGTACGGGGGACATCGCAGTGGGGCTCGACTGCGAGGTGCCCTGCCGCCGCGGCAACTCCGCCTTTCCAACACTGGCAGATGCGGCAGAGGACGGTGTTACCTTCTTCCCAGGCGTGGCGATGGCAGCGGTGGTGGTAGTAGTAGAAGTGATAGACGTAGTGTTAGACTGCGTGGTCGGCTTTGCCATCGTTGTAGGGCTTGCCGCCCGTCCCTTTTGCAGGGCCGCGGCAGAGATGCTGTTGTCCTCATCCACCCCACTCCGTCGCTTTTCAGTGACGTCGTCAAGGTCAAACATCATGTAGAGCCTCTCGTCTTCGTCAACATCGAGGTCGTCGATACCCCCGTCGTTCTGCAGCAGCCTCTGCACCTGCCCCTCAATGGCGTCCACCTCGTCTAGATCGGCGTCGCCATTCGTCACGAGCTTCAGCAGCTGTTCAAGCTTGCCTAAGTGGAATTTCAGCCTTTGCAGCCGCACGGCCTCGGCAGACTGCGCGTTCTTACCGCGCCCGTGGTGACCACGCGTGTTGCGTTCCACATCGTATTCAATGATCTCGATCTGCTTCCGCGCGTCGTCCATGGCGGACTTCAACCACGCCTCGCTGTGGGCCTGGGGCGTCTCGTTGGGCGAGTTGGCGGCGAGGCCCTCCTTACTGAAGGCTTTGGTCTTCGTCTCGCGCTCACACATCTTGAAGACCTCCATCTTTTCCTCAATCACCTTCTGGTAGGACTCCAGCATCTTCGTGTCCTTCACCTCAGGGCTCACGATGAGCGCCTTGATGCCATCGCGAAAGCGCTGCAGCTTCTTTATCTTCTTCTTGAGTTCGCCCTCAAATCGCTCCTTCTGCGACTGCGTACCGGCCTTGAGGAACTTGTCGTAGAGCTCCTCGTAGCTTTCAATGCCATCCTGCGTGTTCCGCAGCTGGCGGTCAATTTCCTGCTGCACTTTTTTGCTATTCGCCATACTCTCGTCCTGTGTGTATGTAGGCGTCTTTCTGTGTAGCTGTGTAGTTTATTTCCAAGTCTCGTTCCTTTCCCTCTGTGCTTGTTGTTATTACCGGCTCTCTCTCTCTCTCTGTGTGTGTGTGTGTGTGTGTGTGCGTGCAAGTATGGCTTCCGTTCTCGGTCTGCTTGTGTGTTAGTAGTCTGTGTGTGTTTGTGTTTGTGTGGGCCGGCGAGCGGGCGAAAGAGTGAATCGCAGTTGACCCCTCACTGTCGCCTTCTCGTCCCGGCTATCTTTTCCTTTGGTGGGACCCACGCACAGACACACAGGCAGACAGAGAGACGAAGAGAGAGAGAGAGAGAGAGAGAAAGGATACGAGCGCAAAAGCAAGAAAAAAAAAACAACAACAACAGCACGGGAGAGCGACACGCAACGCTGCGTGCGGGCATCTTCTCCCCACAGTGCAGGCACCACCCTCCTGCCGCCTGGGAAACGTGCGGTCATCATTCAGCCGTCACACACACAGACACCGTCTCCCTTTGTTTCTCTCCCCCTCTCTCTCCTTGTCCTCAACTCCAGTTCTTAATTGTTCCGTCCCACGCGGATGTGACGATGCGCGAGGGCTCCACCGGGTGCCAGCGGTGCGACGTGAGCATCTGCGTGTGCGCGGCGAAGGAGCGCACCAGCTCTGCCGTTGCCCACGACCAGATGAACAGCTTGCCGTGGATGTCGCCGCTCGACAAGTAGCGCCCGTCGGGACTGAAGGCGAGTTGGCAGCGCGTGCCGGAGATGGTGTGCCCGCCGAACACGCGGTGGCGCAGCAGTCGCACCTGCCCACCTCCGCCGTCGGCGAACACAAGCGCCTGGTTGTTGAGTGACTGTGCAACCAGCATGTCCTCCGTCGGGTGCCGCACCACATGCGTGATGGCGTGCATCGAGACATCCGCGATCTGCTTGATCTGCACCGGCACGCGGAAGTCCCACGTGCGCAGCGTTTTGTCCTCCGCTGTTGTGAGCAGCTTCCGCCCGCCGCACAGCAGCGTGAGGTTAAAGATGGTGCCCATGTGCCCGGTGTACTCGCGTTGGTACTTGCTCTGGCTCGCACGCACGTCGTACAGCACCACCTTTCGGTCAAGCGCTGCGAGAACAAGCGACGACGCGTCGAACGGGTGGTGCAGGTGCTGCACGCACGGCAGCCCCTCCGCGTTCGTCAGCACGCCGCGGCACACGCCGAGCTCCACGTCCCACATCGCGACGGTGCCGTCAACGGAGCCGGTCGACATGGTGGCCGCATCGGGAGTCACCTCCAGCGACTTCACCGGCTGCGTGTGGGCCATGAAGTTGGCGATGCACCGGCGTGACGCCATGGCCTCGTAGAGCCGCACCTCGCCCTTGAGGTCTGCAGCAAAGAGCAGGTGCCCCATCGGCGGCACCCACCGCAGCTGCTGAATACCAGCCGCGTGTTTGCCCCAACTTCCCTTCATTTGCCGCGGCGGGTGACATTCCTGAGTGCGCGGCTGCAGCGACGGCGGTGGCTGCAGGAAGGAACGCCCCAAGTAGTCCGTGCGTGCAAATGAGGTCTCAAACTGTGCGTAAGGGGCGAAGGACGACGAGGATGACGCAGCCTCCGCGCTCCCTTGTTGTTCCTTCTTGGCGAGTGCCTCCTCGGAAGGGACAGGGGCGACGCTTCGCGGCCGTTTCTGTGAGGCTTTCTCATTCTGCTGCTGCTGCTGCTG